GCGACATGATGATGCTCAAAACAGAATTATTCATGTCCAGCTATTCTGTCTTTCTAGAGACTTACCCAGCACAGAAGTCAGTTGTATTGCTTTGTATTTCCCTTGATTCCTATGAAGTATCTATAAAAAAAATACTTCAGTGTTTGCCAACTTTCATTTAACAAGCAGCAATTTAGCTGTTTCACCACCAAAATCTTTTGTGACCACCACTTTGTTCTGATAAGCTAGAAAAGTTACCTTAGTTTGTCCTAAGTAACATGATGTACAGCATGCTACATTTACCACTTTTTACACAAGCCTTCCCTGCCCATTAGTACCAGTGATACATGGTAAAGAAACAGCAAAAACGTTACAAGCAAAATACGAATTAAAGAGCCCCTTGTGCTTGTTCCATTGAGTCAATGTCCACACCTCTGCATGCTTTCTCCAACTTCGGCTCTGAGGCAGCAGCAGGGACAAAAAGTAACTCCAGGCAGATAGAGAATATTGATTGCTTTCCTAATTGAAGCTGAGCTACCAAAAATTTAAGAGCAGAGAGATTTAAGCTTCAAGTTTTAAGTACTAGTGGTTCACATATTACACCAAGCACTGCTCATATGGAATAGGAGGGAGAGGCAGGATGCCTGTCTGTAGAGGTTTCAGTAAATTCACACCTGTGCTATTTTGCAGAACATCCCAGTAACAACCTTCTACACAAAACAGCACTTATTTCCCCAAAACTTCCAACCTACAGAAGGCGGACAGCTTCCTCCTCCCCGTGTGTATACACATACATACATACATACATGTACTGGTTTAAACTCGCCAGACACCAGGTTTCCAGTTTTTGGAAGTAACTTCATACTGAATTAATTGTAAATTTACATTTAGTGGAAGCAAATTAAGTGATTACATTAAAAATTTTAACTCTGAGAACTTCGGTATTAAGCTTTTGAAGGTACTTCTTAATCCACTTCAAACTGGTTTTGTTAGTTTAATTCTCATACAATTTCTCCCACTGCTGCAGTCAGTTGCACTGAACTCTCCATAGACACACACACATATTCTGGCACATGGTCACGAACTCAGAATTGAACGGAAAACTCACTACTGAATCATTTTTCCAGTCTCTCTGAGGTACTTTATTGTTCTCTGCGGGACATTTTCCAGTGTTTTGTATAGTCTGCTTTAAAAACTCACTGGCAAGCCTTTTTGCCTTTGTACTTCTACAGACCTGTAGATCTTACCCAGGTCAGGAAGTCTTAAGGGCTTGTCTGCAGTGGACACATTCCAGAACTGCAGCAGAACAGATTAAGAGATATGAACAAAAAGTTACGACACAGTAATATTCTCTGCCTTGCTGGAATAATGCCTTATGTTGACAACCTATTCCAGGATAGTTAAAGTAGGAATTACTTTGGAATTAGAAGTGACTTGGTTTTGAGGATGACCACGAGGGGGAGTTATACCTATGTAAGTATAGCTGTAGTGAACCAGGTATTCTGCTGTGTCCATCCATTTTCCTCACTAAACAAACCCTAGATCTTCAGCCTCACAATCTGAGCTAGTAGTAACATGAGCGGTGTAACTGTTAAATTGCTTTGAGATACAGATACTGTAAGCTTCTGCAAATAATTAGATTCCACTGTCATGCAGCTGTTTAGCTAACATACACAAACCACAAAACTTCACACACAAAGTCATGTGGTTTTACTTTCCTAAAATCACCATCTGTTGTATAAACAAAATTAATCCAAATATAAAGCAAAACTCAAGTAGCCTAAACTCAGTCTGCCAAGTTGAAAGCTCAGAATAAAAAAAAAAAAGGGGGGGATGGACAGAGCAACTGGTAACGATGAATTTTCTACTGCAGAAAATAAGATCCCAGAGGGACTATCATCACTAGCCAGAACACCCATAACAGAGGACATAAAATTGAGTTAGTCTTTTTTTCTGCTCTAATCAGTTCAGTGTTCTGGTTTATAGAACATCATTATGAAGAGTTGATACACGAGGCAGAAATGCAAGACCACAGATCAGCTGTGATCCAGCTGATTTCCTGGAGGACAACCACCACCTGAGACAGTGGCTCCACATGATCCTCTCCTGGAGGATTAACTATGAAGACACCATCCCAGAAATGCCAATTTAACATCTTTCCAGAAAGTAGAGAAACTGTATAGAAGCCTTTGTGCTCCAGCAGATGGAAAGCACGGTTCTTCTGGCTATAGAAGAATCCCCACAGCAGAACACACCTGTAGAGCATTTAGAGTGGGATATAGGAGAGAGTTATCACTGTTTTGGAGAGTGAACTTCACCTTGAGACTTGTCCCCTTGACAATTCTTTGTTCTTTCTGGGACTAAACACTCCAAATAAGTAATGGGAAGAAGTTTCCAGAGGGGATAGGAGCAGAAAACAGGACTTAGCACCAAGGCCCTTTCTGAGAAAATACTGGGATTTCTTGAAGAAGTCTCCACCACGTGCCCTGGGATTGCATGATTAAGCAGCTTGCTCAAAGTCAGTTAAGATAAAGTGAGAAAAATATTACAAGCCTCAATCTAAAACCAGCGTTTACATCCTAAGACCATGCCCAGTCTTGAGAACAGGCTGTGGGGAGGGGAGGGGGAAGAGCGCGATGCAATTAAAAAACAAAGCCTTTAAGCATTCCTACTGAGGATCAAAAGAAGGACGTTTTAACCAACATACTATTAAAATTCTTTCTTTGGTATGAACAAAGTTTGGACTACCAATTACAAAAAAATTCAAGCTCTTAAAAACAAGAGAAGTTTCCTCCACCTCCCAACCCGCTGCCTCTTTATGGCTGCAAAGTGAAATTAAACAATATTCCAGAAGTCAATAGCTCCTCCTCTGCTGAAACACCAAGTCCCCTGAAAAGCAGAACCCTTTGACAATCCTGAGAAGGTTCCCTGTCGCAATCAACCATGGACAAACTATACTGGTGCCATAACTGAATACCATGTAGAATCCCATCAAAAGTGTGTAAGTGACATTGGTACGCACTGGTCTCCCTCAGAGAAAAGGCCCAGCAATGAACTGCCCTAAGCTTACCATATTAACTCCAACCTAACCCCAAGCACCAGATTCAACACAAGCTACATACAGAGTGGGGGGGAAACTTCCTTACCCTTTCACCAGTAAAGCAGCTGCCTGAAAAATTCAGTTTGACCAAGCAGTCAATCAGCACTGCTGAATCACAAATAAAGGCAGGCAGAGCAGCACACATACACATTAGGTAGCTTAGAAATGTCTGCACAACACAAGAGTACTGAGGTATACCAAATTAGAGGCCAGACAGTGGCAATGACAGGACACTAGGAATAAAACAGGGTAGGGAAACCAAATCCTAATAGACACTGTTGTTCCACATAGCCACCCAGTCAGCTGGCTGAGTACTGATCAACCACTGCAGTAGGTTATAAGGGAGACAGGATGGAAAAAGAGAGAAAACAACAAAACTTCTCACTACCACGCAGTTTTTATGAAGTAGCTATATGAGAACAGGTAAGCCATGAACCCTTTCCAAAAGGAACTCCCTCCATGCAGAAGGCATGCACTAGGCAAAAGTTACTGACAGTTCAGAAAAGTCAGTCATAGCAAACTAATAAAAATGGCTCTGTGGTCTCTCTGCTGTAACAGCAGCATGACTGGAAGGCATGAATACTGACAAAAGCTGGCTCAACAGTTGTAGTTAAGACACACCAAGTAAGAACCAGCAGCATACCTGATGAGATAAAGTGGCAGACACCGTAGAAAGCATTCCTGACAAATGATGACTGCAGAAGGCACTGCACAGAGTTTACAACTGAAGCCTATAGCCTGCCTTCCAATTTAAAAGCCCACAGTCTATCTGAGATCTGCAGCTGAATTCAGTTGCTTGCATAAAGGTGTCTTAACATTTGATACCAGAATTTCCCATACGTCTACACTGGGCTGGCAAACACGATGCGAGCCCAAAGCCTGTGCCCTTCCAGGCTGACAGCTATACGCCAAACAGGGAATCCTGACTACCCCAAGCAACACTGAAAATATGTTTTGGCGACTGAACCAAGCTCCTCCTCCAAGCTCAGTAAAGAATACACAAATAAGATTTTAGTAATAGTAGCCATCTTCAATACCACCTATAATCTTTTTTTTTTTTAAAACAAACTTCTTAATTTTCAACTCACTTCTGTTTCACTCTCTGCACAGCACAAGGCAGTAAGCTTTTCAAGACCTGTGTTAAGATGTTCCCCCTCCTCTTACCACTGAAAAGCCATTATTAAAACAGGTTTAAAACTTGTTTTACAAGCCTCTCACCCAGAGAGGCTCTCGCCCTTTATAGCTATTGCTATCGGCAAAGCCTTTCCACAAGGTGGCATATTCTCAAGGGAGCCATGTTACAGTCAGTTCAGGTAGGAAAGTGTTTGTTTTCAGAGACAAAAAAAAAAAAAAAAAAAAAAAGAGATGAAAGTTGCTCTTTCAGTTAGAAGTTTCAGCGTCCAGTCAGAAGACAACAAAATGCAAAAGGCACGATGGCGAATAGGGCTAAGAGCAAGTTAAGGTACCTCTCCTCAGTAGACATAGGCTGAGAGGAACAAAGAGCAACTTCTAAACAATATTTTTGCACTACCGGACTTCAGGTGGGCCAGGATATCATAAGCTATGTCCCCAGAGAATTTCAAGAATTGCTCTGTGTATCAGTGAGGTGCCTGGGCTGTATGTGATCAGCTCTGCCAAAGAACTCTGAATAGCCACATTGCTGCGCTACACCCATTCCTCTTCCACTCTAATACAGGATCCAAGGCGGGGGGGGTAGGGTGTCTATAACTCCCTTACACAGTGCTTATACAACCAAGCAGCTCTAGTGCACTCCAAGAAGGTTTAAAGAAACATCTAGTCACTAAACATTGTCTGCCTTGTCATTCAGTGCAACAGGTATCACAAACCATTTCTCAATGACTAAAAAGGTTGTTTCACAGTGTTTATATTTACATACTACAGTAGGGGTGGGAGAACTTACCTCCATTTGGAGAGCAGCCGTGTCCTGATCATAGTGTCCCATGATGTTTGGGAAAAAAGTCATATTGTAAGGCATTCCTGAACATCTGGAAATAGTAATTGGCTCACATGTGAATAAACTGTGCCCTCGCACCAGAGCTAGAAGTAAACTGCAAGTCACAGAGAACACAAGTACTCCCATTTTGTCAGGATCTCCAACTTCAGCACATAGCTCTGTTCAGTAGTTAGACAGATCAGCTTTGCCCAAGGATAAAAACACACATCTTCCTCCGCTGGTTCCCGCGCAAGACAAGGGCACGGGCAGTAAGGCAGATGATCAGACTCCTCACCGCTGCTTTAGGTATTTCCTCATTTTGGCTGACCGCGATTTTACTAAATCCCTTCTTCCTCGAGCCTGTACGCTGCAGAAGCAGGAAAAGACAGGACAGAGTAACTAACAGCAGAAAAAACCCGACCCCGACCGCGACCATCCCTCCCAAGGCCGAACTCGG